CCCCCTCTTATACCCCCACCCCCCCCCTCCGCTCTGACTCCTGCACCCCCCCTTTCCCCAAGCCCCTGCTCTGAGCTCCTCCTCACCCCCCCAACCCTGACTCCCGCACCTCACACACACACACACACAGCCCCCGACCCTGAGTCCCTCCTTAAGGGCCCAAGCAACTCTGGGTCAATGTGCTAGTATTTTATAATCTCAAAGGTGGACAAATTCTGCTTTACATGCCCATAGCTTTGATGCCATCCAGTGGCCAAGACAGTAACTGCATATATTTTAGAAGAAGCCAGATATTTGCATAATTAGAATTAAATTATATGCTGCCATTATCTTTTCTACAGCTTTGAAAGAAAATCAAACTGTTTAATATATCATATTTCTTGACTTAAAATAAGCAAACGTGTCTGTTGGTGAAGCATATGCTACAAGACCTGCACATGCAATGTAGTAGCAAATTCATTTAAGCAAAAAGCTAGTTTCAGATGGGTGAAGCCTCCCAGAGACTACTGTCTACCAAAGGGTAGCCTTTTGCATCACTACAACCACGACCATTAACTGAACTACACTACATCTGCTTTGCATAGTAGAAACTCTCTAAAAATGCCACTTGTTATATATCCATCAAACAGAAGTCCACAGGAACAGCAATGATCATTATAGGTAAAACAGCATAAACGTTTGATTCTAATCCCATTTTCAGCCACTCACTTTGAGGCAAAAGTTTCTCATTTCTGTCTTTACCCAAAAGGGATTTTCTTCTGGAAATTTTGAACAGTTCAACTATTTTGGAGAAGAGTGGAACACCACTTAACTACTGTAACAGCTCATTCTTGCAACATTTTTCCTGCCCAGCTCTACAGTGAAAATGGTTAGGGAGTGAAAGTTGAAACCTGGCATGAAGACAGACTTCACTGAGAAATGCTTTTGAGTGATCGGATGAAAAATGCTTTGGATTTGTCCAAGTTATAACCTGCTGAAAACTGCTCTGTGCATACAATCCTTTTGCTAAGCGTAAGAAATGTGCAGCTAAGGCAGCTACAGCACCTGATATGTGCATCGCTAACTCAGCGGCACACTGAAACTGAACTAAGACCATGCAGAGCTAAGGTAAGGGCTCCTTAGGAAGATTAGAAATGAGGTCTTGGAAAGACAAGACTTGAAGCTTGGGAGTCACCGAAATGGAACCCAACTGTGTTGCGTAGAACAGCATATGCGCCTTGTGCAGTTTTCCAAGGTAACCGATGTCAATTTTAAAAGCTCCGGAGCCCTTTCTCCAATCCCCTTCTAAAGGGGCATCTTCTCTAAGCTTCCCTCAAATACTGAAGTAAGCCTAGGAGCAGATGGGTGGTACCAAGAGGGAGAACCAGAGACTGCGTTATGACGATCTATCCCTCCCATCAGGGTCAGAAGCATCTGAGAGCAGGGTGGTGAAAGTCCCATCACTTCTTTCTCCAGAAACCGCAGGAGGTGGCAAGTGGCACTGATACACTAGACCCATTCTTTGATGGGGGGGAAGGACATCACTGTCTTGAACAAACAAAAATCTAACTCTGATACTATATAGGATTCTGACAGTCCAGAGCTAGGAAACCCAAAAGCTGAAGCATTTACTGCATTTCTCTCTCCCATCCCGGAGGAATTGCAGTGGATTGTTACTTTAATGCAGCACTATTTTTCCTTTCCTTAAGGAGGAAAGGTCTCTGGCTTGTTTGGAAGGCCAGGCACTCTCCTCTGCATCGTAAGGTTGTTTGACTCAGTACAGCGCAACACAGAAATGACACTAGACAGTATAGACACATGACCACACTAGCATAAAATGGCCTCAGAGCACTAAGCTACTGTGCATAGGCAACTGCCACCAAAATATTAACTCTGGGAAAGCATGTCCAGTGGATCATGTCTCACTTGCGCCATGTTCTTTTTGAGCAGCCTGCAGTCCAGTGCAAAACCACACTATTCCCCTCCATAAAGTCCTGGTGCTTAGTTACTGAAAAGTAGCAATGCCATCATGCTACAGTTGGGGGGGGAATAGAGAGGAGGGGGACCGGGTAAGCTTCTCATCCTCGCCTTCCAGACGACACACTTCTGCTCTCCCCTATATTTTTGACCTCATTTATTGGCCTCTCCCCATATCTTCTGTTAGGCTCATTTTCACACTTTTTTCCATGGTGTGCCTCCACCCCTTTCAAACTCCTCCTCAAACCTCACTTAACTAAATACAGGACTATGTAGCACTTTAAAGACTAACAAGATGGTTTATTAGGTGATGAACTTTCATGGACCAGACCCACTTCCTCAGATCAAGTAGTGGAAGAAAATAGTCATAACCATATATACCAAAGGATACAATTAAAAAAAAAGAACACATATGAAAAGGACAAATCACATTTCAGAACAGGAGGGGGATGCGGGGGGGTGGGGGGGAGAGGAAGGAAGGTAAGTGTCTGAATTAATTATATTAGAGGTGGGGAGAGTTAGATGTCTGTGAGCTAATGGTATTAGGGGTGATAATTGGGGAAGCTATCTTGGTAACGGGTAAGATAGTTAGAGTCTCCGAGAAGGCATGAACAAAGAGTGTCGAATTTTAACGTGAATGACAGTTCAGAGGATTCCCTTTCAATCTGCACTTGAAAGGGAATCCTCTGAACTGTCATTCATGTTAAAATTCGACACTCTCCGAGAAGGAATGAACAAAGACTCTAACTATCTTAGCCACTAGACCCTCCTTCCTACCTTTAGCTTCCCAATAACTTGTAATGTAGCAGCACTAGGGGCACCCCTGGAATTGTATTAATTTGCTGACAAGGATCTAATGTGCCTTTGTTATACCATAAAAGGCATCTAATAAAGGAAACTGTAATACAACAAAACCTTCCTAGAATCAAAGTATTCCTCCTATCCACAATAGATGAACCTACATGTGATCCTGCAGGGTGGATAAAGCTTGTGGAAGAAAAACATTATCTTAGGTAAAATCCACAGAAGAAGAGTTGTTAAAAGTCTGATTTCATGCTGCTTTCCAAGGATCTGGGTCAGCATGCACCACTTCCACTCTAATTGCTTCCTCTCCAAGTCTTCAGAGGTTGTCATAGGATTATAGGTGTCAGTTTAAAAATTGTAAAGTCAACCTCTCAAGAGGCCATAAAGCCGCCAAGAGAAATAGAAACTATTCTACCTAGAACCCAGATCCTGTGCTTCCCTTCTGAACGTTCTAAACTGCTTACATGTGGATTACAGGGGTAAAACAGAACAGAATCTCCAACAAGTCAAAGTCAAGCAGTGGGCAGCCGCCTCTATTCAACACAACTACACAGTCATACCAGCCTCGAAGTTTAAATGCTTCTGGACTATCCGGGTTCACCACAACTGTGCTCGAGGTCAGGACAGAAAGACTCCGGCCACCAAAATCAGAAACTCTGGCTCCTTTGATGGCTACCACAGGCTGTCTAGACCCATCAAATCTTTCCGCCTGTGAAAACATAAAATATAAATGGCACAACATGGGCGCTCATCTCGGTTCATAATTCATAGATCATGACTACAAACAGGCCCAAACTGGACCAGATTGTCCAGCTGTATCTCTGAGGCACAGTATCTAGGTCAGGTCATTAAGCCTTGAAAACAGGCTATTAATCGTTGTTTAAAGGATTTTTGAATCCCCAATGGCCAATCTCAGAGACTGCAAGTAGTCCCCAAAATCCCATCCTGTGTGTATTTAAGTGGAGAAAAATGGTTTGGAAAGGGAGGATAGCTGTCCCAGATCAGAACAGACTTAACCCAAGGATGATTTCTCTCTTGACAGTAACATGCTAACAAGAGGACCTATGTGGTCAGAAAAATTATTGCTTACAAGAAATGCAAGTTGCTTGTTTTTCTTTTGACCTGCTACACTGATGAGAATGCCTTATCTAGTTTAGCTTACGAGAAGAGTAAATTTAGATATATTGAGCAAACATTTTCTTTTAATTCCATTTTCTCAGTTTAACTGAAGCAAAATTTATTAAGATTGCTGTCATCTGGGCACTTTCACAGAGACATCCCCAAAGAGAAGAAAACCCCATAAATATAAAAATGACTATTTGCACAGCAATAACATTTAGCTCTTCAGTGGCACCTTCCATCAGAGGAGCTGTGTGACATATGAACATCTAGCCCCGAGATGTCCAACATGCTAGCCACACGTGGCTATTTGTCTGGTTGTATGTGGCTAGTATGCTTCAGAATGGGTTGGACACCATGGCTCTAGCCTCAAAGAATCCTTGTCAGGTGGATAAGAATCATAACTATTTCACAGACAAAAAACTGAGGCATAGATCAACAAGAGCCTACCACATTACTTGTTTAAGGCCACATCAGATATTGGTGGCAATTCTCAAAACTGAGCTCATGTTCCCAAAATCCCAGTCCTGTGGTTAAAAACCAAATACATTCATTGGCTCTTTGTTCTTGCTAGCTTTTTGAGGTTGACCCCTCCTCACAACCCCAGGCAAGTTTTGACTTTATTCAGCATTCCAAGGACCCTGCCCTACGACTAAACCTTAACCCTGCTGGATACCTTTGGTCACTGAGCTCTTTCTTGATCAAAGCAGCAACTCCTCTAGAGCTAATGCTGACAGTGCTTCCTGAATACGAAGGCTGCCAGAGTCTGGAGAGAAATAGGCATGTTGCACATCGTGGCTCAAACTATGCCAGATTGGCCACAGTATAAAGTTATTGTGGAGAAAGGCTAACAAGGTCAGATCAGAGAAACCAAACTAAATCTTTTACCCTCTATACAGAGACGCATCCCCACTCTTAGCCGCCACAGGTGACATATTATACCCATTCTTCTCTCTATATATGTGAAAGCTCAGAACAGGTAACCAGGCACTTACCTCATCTCCCCACAGAGTAGCTGTCACCATCTTCCCAGATGTATCCATTAAATGCACATTCCTCTTGGATACTTCTCTATTGGTAGATTTCACTGTAATTTTAGTGATGTCTTCATAGCTCTTACAGACTCCAATTATGTCTGAAAAGCAGGCATAATTCAGTTTGAATTACTTGAAGGTCATGACTGGGTCAGAGGAGCAAAGACGACATGGGAAGAACTCATACACAGGTAGCATCAGATTACATCTTCAGAGATTCTAAATCCCTATAAAAATTCTAAAAGTCTAAAACTTGGGAACCCTGTATATTAAAGTTGAAAGGCTGTTAGTGAAAGGAAAATCCATTACATCTTTGCAATGCTATTTTCTCGATGAATTTAACAGTTCATAAAGTAATCCACCATAGCAGGTAGATTTAAGATTTTGTGCAATCTTCTCACCTACCACTTTATAAAAGAGACTTCATTCTCACCTTGCAGCACTACTTGCTTTTCCAGTCTAAGGTTCTCTTGAACCAGGGGATTACAAAGCGTCTATTATGCAGACAAGCATGTTCCAGCAACTATGAGGAGGACACCAAAGTCTTTTTCATTTGACAACCCAAGCATGTATGTGGACACTTTAGAAGTGATAAGCTTGTGCAATACGCCCACTAATCTCTACATTGCTTTGAACTCTGACATTTGTTTCTAAACGCTAGTTGAACACCTCTGAATCATGCCCTCTGGGATTGCTGACAGTGGCCAATATTAGGGGACAGGACACTGCATTAGATGGACCTTTGGTCTCCCCCAGTATGGCCATGCTTATGTTCTTAACATATTTCTGTGGAGCCACTACAAGTGAGAACTATCATCCCAGCCTCTGATCTTCCCAGAGTGCTTTACCCACTGAGTTAGAGGAAAGTTTCAGAGCTCCTAGTGAAGCAATGCAAGACAATCACAAGAAGTAATGCCAAATGTATTGCAGAGCTGCAGAAAGATGCATACAGAATGTTTCTTTGCACCTTCCCTCAGAAACAGAACATATCATACTTGTGGCCCCATTCACCTTCTAGTTTATACTGCAAGCTGGCAGATAAATCAGTGTGCATGGCTAGTACAAAGAACCCCAACTCCCTAGCACCAAGACTAGCAAAAGTAACTACCTGAAGCATTTACCTGCCACACTGCAGTGCCTGACAGAGAACATATTAATCACATAACACTATGTTTCACCACCTGCTCCTCAATTATTTGCTACAAGACAAATGATTTTAAGTTTCTTGGCACCCCATCTTGCTATATGGACTCACCAACAATTGTGTCTTTGCATGTGTTCTCCAAATCAGAGATGGGCACAAACGCAAACTGAACCGAAGGAAGGTGCTGAGCATCCTCACAGGGTATTACTGAAGTCTCATTACTGAATGTGATCTCATAGTCATTTTTCACAGCTGTATACTGCTTATTAGCTGTCTTTAGATGGCCTTTGGTGAAGTAATATACCTAAAGAAAAGGAGAAGGGATGAAACATAGGATACCTCTGCAGTGAAATGCTGCAAATGACCTACGCACACCGTTAAACAACTCAATAGACTCTATAAACACCCCTCTAACTCATACTGGTTATAAAATAAACAGTCATACTGTACCTTATTCAATTCAATGAGCGGAAAAAACTTGTCCACTTGATCATTGAAAGCAGTAGCTCTAATTTCACCCTGCAGGAAAATGCAAAACCCAGTTAGAATTAAAATTCAATGTGCAAAGCCTTCCAATATAAAGTGGTTCCATTTCCATAGATGTGGAATACCCTGTAAGACTAGCTCCAAACCCGCAACAAACATCTGAGTTCATATCCATGACTTTACTTAAACCCACATAAGAACCTCCAGAAAGAATGGCATGTACTAGCAAGTGCAGTATGCCAACACATTGTTGTAAAGAAGTGTAGCTCTGAACAGATATGCCCAAACCTTGCATCAATTATGTCATTTTACAGATCAGGCAACATCTCCTTTTAGACATAGCATTTAGCTTCACAAATTATGGGATAACATCACGCTGATAGGTACAGCAGTGTGTGTTGCGACAAGCTCTTCCCTGAGTGACAATTAATGGCTGAGCTAGAATTCCACTAGTTAAGATATTTATGCAATAAAAATATTAAAAACTGTCAGTCAAAATGCTGACAGCATGCAGACGTGAAATAAGACTAATGAAGATGTGTCGAATTACGAACATTTAGTATTGAAAAAAAATCTCATACGAACAAACAAGCTGCTGTATAACAAAAAAAATTAATTGAGAAACTGACCACGTTTCATTCTTCAAAACAAACCAGAAATGGTTTTCCTCTTCAGCATCTGTGTGAGAGTTGTATCTCATAAAAGCTTATGCCCTATTGCCCTAATGAATTTGTTAGTTTTTAAAGTGCCACTGAACTCCTTGCTGTTTAAACCAGAAATGGAATTTCCCTGTATTGCATATTTATTCATTTTAATTAGGAAATCAGAATGTAAGTTTCTATTTGAAAATGCTCGTTTGGATTACATTTTTTATGCCTTGCATGATGGATGTGATGTCAAAGCAACAGGAATGGGATTCTTCTGTCAATCTAAGAGAAGTGCCACAAAACTGAAACGTGGTCTGTGTAGAGACCAAATTCTGATGCTGCCACCATTTTTGGCCACATACCACTGAGCTAACAAAAGATGCAAACAACAGCATTTAGGGTCTCATTTTAGATATCTATAAAGACTCTGAGTGAATGAGAGTGGGACATACCCTAAGACCTCAAAGAATGCCATTCTCTATAACAAATCTGCCAAAAACGTCCTTAGTTCTTCCTTCTCTCATTTACTTAAATACAGAAATTTTGTTTCTCAAGAACTCATCTGCTTCTAACTATGCAAACTTCCAAGGCTCTCTTCGCTGTCGTATCTTGGATCCCACCGCAGCACTTACACTTTCATCAACCAGCTCTATAGAGAACAGCTTTCCCTCACCGCGGGAGTTGCTCCAGGTGCGAATCTGGCCTTTTTGGGTAACACGAGCACAAATGGTCCATCTGGAAACAAGACAGTAAGAATTAGTAGTCCAATGTCCTTTTTTAGAATGGAGTGGAGTCTTACAAATTTCACAGACTTTCAGTTTCTATGCTGTTAATACAGAACCTAAGATTTCCCACTGTTGCTCAGTGACTCTACTTGTCTGTGTAAAAGGTACGGTGTTTATGCCACTGAAACAGAAATTATAGAGAACCAAAAACATTTAAGAAAACAAAGTCACTTTTAAGGCATATAGCATGATAAAGTACCAAAAAATTCTCCTAGAAGCATCCCGCCTTTAATCTTTCACTCTTCAATATTAAGCATCCCCAGTAAAGCAGTATACCTAGACTGAAAGGCCACATATTAGAACCTTGCAGGAGTCCAATTTTCAGGTTCATACCATGGATAAAATATAGACTAAAGCAGATCAGCTTGTATAATTTAACCATTGATGTTCCCAAAATATTTATATCTACGTTCTCTTAAAACAGGATGTCATTTATCCTGAAGCCAGGGTGCACAAGTTTATGGTAGGGCAGTTAAACAGGCTACTACCAAAAGGAAACATAACATGTCAATTGATTTTGAGGCAACATACCATACTAACAGATCAAAGATCAGCAGAGCCCACAGACTCTGTGATCAACTTTTATCATGTGATCCAGAGCCTAATCTCTGATTATCAGAGTTCCTAGCACATAGGGTAATCAAAAAAATACCTTTAGTACCTGCTGTATTGAGATAACTGACATGGTGTCCAAAAGAAATTAAAAGAATTTGACAGACTTAAAAGACTGGTATTTCTTCTGAGAAAGCAGAAATTTACTCTGAGTGTTATTTCTTCATGCCTACAGCACTCTTTGAACGTGGACAACAGAGATTCTGTAACTCACTTGGACTGGTATGGATTCAGACTTGCAATTGGTACAACTTTGGACTGTGATCCACCAGGGGTGCTCAAGAAGCTGGAACCGCCTGCTTTCCCATACTGCTTTGTGGGGCCATGGTACTTCACCGCAGTGGGACCTAGAAAAAACACACACAAGTTCAGCTATATAGAACTCAGACAAAATGATCTTACATGTCTCTAAGCATCAACAAAGGTTAAAATAAGTTAACTTCAAGTGGCAAGCCCATATCAGGTAGCACTCTATTAATCTGCAAGAGACATTCTCTCACTGAGGGTACATCCACATTTGCTCCCTAGTTTGGACTAGGGATGCAAATGTAGGCAACCGAAATTGCTAATGAAGCGGGGATTTAAATATCCTGCACTTCATTAGCAAGATCTCGCCCGGCGCGCTAGTCCGAATCACAGCTGATTCAAACCAGAAGTGCGCGCCAGGACACAGTAGTTCGAACCAAAGCCCTTGGTTTGAACTAACGTTACTCCTTACTTTTTTATCCCCGCTTCATTAGCAATTTCGGTTGCCTACATTTGTATCCCTAGTCCGAACTAGGGAGCAAATGTAGACATACCCTGAGCTACAGGAAGATGATGTCCATAAGCAAGTAGAAAGAAATGCACATAGGCATTTATAAGGCTTCAGTCAACATGGTATTTAAGCAACAAAGAGTACGATTTTAAAGACATTAATCACTGTTTTAAAGCCCTTCTATTCTGGAGTCACAAACTGCACCTGTTTCAGAAGAGAAATGTTTCAGCCTTTTTTATGACTATTAAATAGTATAAAAGAACCAGGAATGGCAGCCATGAACAAGTGTCCACAGATGTTCGGTTAGAAATATTAGCTGAGTGCCCATGAAGTAATTAGTAAGCATGAACCAACACCAATAAGTGTGACAAGTTCTGCGATTCCTTGGAGAAATCCATCAAATAGCTTATAAGTCTATTTATGCTCCTATGAATATAGACTGGATCACCAAATACATTTAAATAAGGGGTAAAGAAAATAAGGTAAGAGTCATTTTCACTTCCGTCTTAATAATAAGCAGGTTTCAAAATTCTCTATTTCAAAATGTTTCTCTAACAATGAAATTTGGGGAAAAAGTCCAAGACAGGTCCCATATTTTACTCGTAGCTCAGACTTGGATTGAAATCTTTTTGTTTGAAAAATAATTCTACAGCTAGACAGATAATTTATGCCAATTTAAAGCCCTCAGCAAGAACTAGTATTTATAGAGAGAGTTTCAATTGAGTCTCATCCATATAACATCTAACCATTCTGTTTCAATGGCTTAGCACAGACCCACCCTTTCAATCAGTTGGGAACCAGAGGGTCACAATGTAGTTTCAACTAAACAAAACGCTAATAGGAAGAATGTGCAATATATGCCAAATAAAGTCAAGAATTTTTACCAAGTTTCTTTCATGTGTTTTAAGATGGACTCATCGTTCTTCCCTCACAGAAGGGGTCAAACATTTCAAAGGCTGTAATTCAGAGGTGGGCAATAATTTTTGAAGGGAGGGCCACTTCACAAATTTCAGAAGTGTCCGTGGGCCGACCCAGAAGGGGCAGAGTCTTGGGCGGAAAGGGTGGTCCATGTGCGATGAAAAGATGCCAATATGTTTTTTTACACAACAAAGTAATTACTTTGTTGCATATAATGCATACAACATTATCCATAGATTATCATAGAAGGCAACACTTGTAAAATCTGTAACAACATCGTTAACATTTTGAAAACACCTGAAGCATTTGTAACAACAAAACCACCAACATTAAACATTTAGTTACATCAGTGGTGGGGATCCAACCTGCGAAGCGGACATGGCTCACCAGGGTTAGCCCCGGCAGCCACCAGTGCTTTATTTACATGCACCTCCACCGGGACAGCTGCTTGAACCTCCCGCTCACCATGGAGCACCATCTCTAGCCAATGGGCGCTGCTTGAATTGGGACACCACTTCCTACAGCTCACATGGGCTGGGAATGGTGATCCACAGCCAACAGGAGCTTTAAATGGCCATATCTGCAGAGGCACAGGATAAATCAGCACTGGCAGAAGCCACATCTTACTTATTGCCCACCTGAGTTTAATGCAACTTATGTGCATTAAATTTAAGTGGAAAAGAAAAAATGCAACTCAGTGTGAAGAAGAAAGTCTATGTTGGACATTAACAAGGAAGACGAAGTCAGGTGTCACTTCTGATGTTGCAATGCAGAGCACTACTGCAAGATGGTCATCACTGACAGAAGAGCTGTTCTTAGATTTATTGAATTTCACCACAGAAAATGTCTGCTCGCAGATGTAAGTTGATCTGAACAATACCAGCATCTTTTGGGCATGAACCTTGACCTTCGGAAAGCTTTGTTCATTGAGAGATGACTAAAATTCCAGAAGTGGCGTTGATTTGAATTGCTCTGCAAGCAAGGCATCACTCTGCAAGTCAATAAGCTCAATTTGGAGGTCACCTGGAACATTGTCCACCATGTATATGAAAGGAGAACAAAGCCATGCTCCCCACTTCTTACCTATTGCCTGGCAGCTGCCCGGCAGGCACAAGCCCTTTGAATAGAAGCAGTTGAAAGGCTCCCAGGCAACCAGACAGTGGGGAAGAGGTGTGAGCTCTTTTCAATTGCTTCTGTTTAAAGGGCTTGAGACTGCTGGCTGACTGCCAGGCAATGCAGCCACCCAGCAGGCGAGCCCTTTAAATAGAAGCAGTTGAAAGGGCTCACATCTCTGGCTTCCTAACAACTCAGTAGAAGCTGGGCGAGCTGCAAGTCCTTTTAAGTGCTTTTATTTAAAGGGTTGGCGCCTTCCCTGTGCCTGTCAGGCAACCCGTTGCCTAGCAGCCAGGGAACACACGAGCCCTTTGAATAGACACAGCTCCCGCCCCAGTCCCAGTCCAGCAATGTGCTAGAGGTGTGAGGAGCTGTGATCCCTTTCAGCTGTTTCTATTTAAAGGGCTTGTGCCTTCCCTGCAGCTGCTAGGCAAGGTGCAGGGAAGACACAAGCCCTTTAAATAGAGCTAGGGGGCGGGGCCTGAAACTGCCTCATGGGCCGGATCCAGCCCACTGAGAGGCTTTTGCCCACCCCAGCTGTAATTCCTTTTCACTATGAAAACAGACTGCAAAGACTCTTGGGCAGCAGCCTCTCACGGACCAGAAGGGAGAGGCGCCACTTACTGTTCGTTGCTGTCAACTTCTCATTCCTGGCTTAGAGCAGCTTCTTGCCCTCCCTTTTCTAGGTGCCCAGAAGCTGCCTCCATTCTCTGCTGTTAGAGCACCCTACGTTGGTTTTACTTTGCAGCCCTAATCCAACTCAGACTCATGATTCAGTCCAATAGGGCCAACTACCACTGAGACACCCTGAATGAGAAGTATCTTACCTGATGCTGAATTCCCAGTCTGCTGCTGTGGTTTGCTGTATGTTGTGGTGGCAGCTGGAGTGGAGGAATGCTGCTGCTGGTGCCCCTGTCCTGTTAGTCAAAGGGGGAAAAACTGCTTATAGTGCGATGGACTGGTGACCAAGGTAATGAGAACTGCCCCAGGGCGCCAACCTTACCTTTACAAGAGCCTAATCGCATACAACACCCTCTAACATTCAAATGCGTTACAAAGCAACTGCAAGCCACCCTGAGGCTATGTGCACAGCAGACACAGGACTGCAGCACAGCTATGGTGCCACAGATAAGCTTCTGTAGCACAGATGCTTCCCACAGCAATAACAGGGGTCCCATCACCAAGGAAACTCCAAAATCTCACCCAGCAGTAGATGGAAGCATTCCTCCTACCTGCACTCATGTTGAGGGTTACATCGCCGTGGTTACAGTGCCCAATGGATTTGAATTTTTCTCCACACCTCTGAGCACCATGGCTATACAGGCAGTCCCCGAGTTACGCAGATCCGACTTATGTCGGATCCGCAGTTACGAACGGGGATTTTCTCGCCCCGGAGGACTGGAGCAGCGGGACGCCTTCTGAATTAATCAACTACGCTCTTACATCCCTAGGCTATGCTGACCTAACTTTCAAATGTAGACCAAGCCTGAGCCTGCCACATCTCCCACAGCAACTACTTTATGGAGACCCAAGTGATTTAAACTGACTTTAGGATGCCTGTCACAGGGGCTGCCCTTTGTGGGGTTGGGCACCCAGCTTCTCTGTGACATGGTCCACTGAAGAGAGAGTTAATTAGTTAAGAAACAGCTGGGTCTCAGTTCAGTTCTCAGGCAGGCATCCAGAGCAAAGAGGATGCTCCTCAGGGAAGCTTGAGTAAAACCACTCCCAGTGGTGAGTTCCAGGAGACCAGAGGCTCCCAGAGAGAGTAACCAGCCACAGAACAACACAGAGAAAGCTCCAGAGGAGAAAGACTACAAAGCTCTCCAGGCAGAAAGGCTTGAGAGAAAACCTGAATTAGCACAGGATAGACTGCACAGCTTCAGAAAGAAGGGAAGCCCTAGGTCTTAAAGAAAGTGCTGGCTTGCTTACATAGCATGTTTGACTATTGATTAAATAGACTCAACCCCCAAAGAGGCATTGTTCATTGAACTCACTGAAAGTCTACTAAGGGAAAATGAGGAAGACATACCCACAGTGTCACAATGGAATATAATCTTGTTTTCAACAAGAGCCCCACGGAATAAAACACCCACATTCAAGCGTGTTATAAAACAAAAAAAACCATCTAGAGAAGAGCCACAGCAAGCGACCACTTTCTATTACTACTTCAAAAGAATTCAGGGTTGACAGTTATTTAAAGGGACATTATTAAATGCATTAGAGCATTCCTAAAACCAAAATACCCACCTGGGGAAGTGAAAAAACAGATCAACAGAGCCAAAAAAGAACCCAGACATGAACTACTTCAAGACAGACCCAAAAAAGAAAACAACAGAATTCCACTTGTCATCACCTACATACAGTCCACACCTTAAACCCCTCCAACGCATTATCCACAATCTACAACCTATCCTGGAAAATGATCCCTCACTCTCAGAGGCCTTGCAAGAACGGCCTATTCTTGCTTACAGACAACCCCCCAACCTGAAACTAATTCTTTCCAGCAACCATGCTACACAGCTACATCGTAAGCATCTAGGAACCCCGGTGCAATCAGCCCCAGTGCAACTCTGTGCACATATCTACCCAAGCAAATTCATCACTGGACCCAACCACATCAGCCACCAAATCAGAGGCTCATTTAACTGCACATTCAGTAATGCGGTCTATGCCATCAAATGCCAGCAATGCCCGCCCCACTATGATATATATTGGACAAACTGGACAGTCCCTACGGGAAAGAATGAATGGACATGAATCAGATATCCAAAAAGGGAACATACAGAAAGTTGGTGGTGAACAATTTAACCTCCCTGGACACTCATTAAGGCATGGGTTCCCAAACTGGGGGGATGTGAAGAAATTTCAGGGGGGCATGAGGTGACCCAGTCCCCCCATTCATCTCACCTCCCCCCCCACCCCACACCCAAGTTTTGCTGCTATTTTTGTTTTTCGGCCCCAGTCAGCTCCTTTTTTTTTTTTTGGCTCAACAAGTTTTGCTGCTATTAAGGGGGGGGGCCTGAGGGTTTCTCAAAAATCAAAAAGGGGGCATGATGCCGAAAAGTTTGGGAACCACTACATTAGGGGATCTCCAAGTTGCTGTTTTGTTTCTACAGTGTCCCGCCAGCTCCAAGTTGCTGTTTTGGTATAGAGTCTAGACCAATTCAACAAGCCAAATACACAGAAAGGTTCGGAACTCCACTTCATTCACAAGTTCAATTCTCATGCAAATGGTTTACATCGCGATATTGGATGGCTGGGACATTATCAACCAACCAAATAATGAAGGTGCCTATGGTTCTTTATGTCTGTGTAGAATCTAGTGTTAATACTCTTCCTTTAGTGATAGAAATGTAGTCGTGTTAGTCTGGTGTAGCTGAAACAATTTTCTTCCACTACTTGATCTGAGGAAGTGGGTCTGGCCCACAAAAGCTCATCACCTAGTAAACCATCTTGTTAGTTTTTAAAGTGCTACATAGTCCTGTTTTTTGTTTCAACTCTTCCTTTACATTGCAAACTAATGGTTCTTATCTGCCTCTTAACGATCTAGTCTTTAGGTGCTAATAGACTATTTTTTGATTTTCCTGCTACATATTGGCTCGGCTTTCCCTTTGAAATGTTTCTCCCCCTTTCCCCCCCATCCAATTTTTCCTTCTCCCCTCTTCCCTTATTTATTTTTGGTTCTGGACATCCAGCACGCCAGTCATCTGAAGAAGTGGGCTGTGCCCACAAAAGTCATAATACCATCTACATGTTTTGTTAATCTTTAAAGTGCTACTAGCCTATTTGTTGTTTAAGTTTTTCCTGTTACAGACTAACTCGGCTCCCCCTCTGAAATTATTTAAGTGGTTAAGCTTTTACATCTCTCAGCAGGAGGGGCTGCAGCACTGCAAAATACAAGAGCTAAAATACAATAACTTAATAAAACTCCTTAAAATGCAGAGAAAAAGGTGTTAAGAAAAGGTAAATCTAGACCTAGCACTAACCATAAACTTTAAAAACGAGCAGTCCTGTGACACCTTAGAGATTAGCAAATACATTATATCATGAGCTTTTGTGCTGATGAAGAATGTTTTACCCATGAAAGCTCATGATATATGTCTTAGGCTCTAAGGTGCCACAGGACTGCTTGTAGTTTTTAAAGTTACAGACTAACAGGCTACCCCTCCCTCCTGAAACAGCAGCAGGACAAAAGACAGCTCAGAGTGGGCAAGTGTGATGGCGAGTTGGGGTTTCCCCGATCCTGCACCCCCGTACCAGCAGGAACAGTCTCCCCCAGCCAGTAGAACAGCGAGGGGTTTATTGATTTTCCAGAATACAGCCCAGCACATACGTGATGTGGCTACTGGGGGCAGGGCCAGGATGGCTCAGGCCCTAAGGTTAGGATCCATGACCCCTAGCACCCAGCTTAGCCTTTTCTCTCCATGCTTCCCAGACAGCAACTGCCTCCCCTCAAGGCCCTGCCCCCCAGCCCGGTGCTGGTCTCCACTCTCCTCCCTTTGTCTCTCTCCCTGGAGGCTGAGCCTGAGTGTCTGTGTTAATACACAATTGGGTGAGTAAGTGGCAATCACATCACAGCGCAGGGGGACCCCGGGTTACAGAGCAGACAGCCCCCCACTACACCAAAGCAAGACTGAGCCCAGGGAGGACAGCTGAAGTGAAGGGAGCTAAAAAGTTCCTGGCAGGCTGCGGGGGGCCAAGCAAGGACTGAATCCAGAACCCATCCAGACCAAGTGAGGGGTCCTGAAATGGGTCCTGTCTAGCAAAAGCCAGAGTCTTGGAGAGGGGCAGTACTGCTAGAAAGGACACACCAATAGCAGGTACAATAGCCTCTGTTGAACTGTTCCACAGGCCAGTGTCCCCAAGGAGGAAGCCTTAGCAAGTCAAGACTGCAAACCCAAAGAGGGTTTTCTGTTCCACTTACAGACACATACACCCCCCTCGGCTAGAATGCTGAGTCACTGAAGACCCGCCAAAGAAGTCACTGACAAGATGTAGCTGCCACCCCATTACCACAAACAGAGAAACAGGAGGACCACACCTGACCAGAAGGGAGTTTGAAGCCCATTGTCTGTATTCTATCCCTCTTGTTCCTTCCTTTCCTTAAAATCCTGAAATCATCATTTCATGATCACTTTCACGCACACTGCATTCCACCTTCAGACTCACTACCAATTCCTCCGCTGGTCAGAATCAAGTTTGTCCCCGCGGTTGATTCCTCCACTTGCAGAAACACAAAATTGTCCTTAAAACATTCCAAAACCTTATTCGAAAGTTTATGTTTTGCTGCATTACTGTCTAGCCTTCTTTTGGAAAAGTAAGAGTCCCCCATCAGTACCAGGCCTTGTGTTCGGGATAGTTCTGTTATTTGTTCTAGAAATGCTTCATCCACCTCCTTTTCCCGAACTGGTGGGTCTCCTGGAGACCCCTACTTGGTCACTTTTTGTTCTAACCCTTTTATCTTTACTCAGACTTTCAATTGGTCTGGCCTCATCTCCTCAGAACAAGTGCATTAAATCTAAAGAATATGTACAACAGCTCTTCCTTCTTTACTCTGCCTGCCCTTTCTGAACAAGACTGCCCTTTAGACCCATATTCCAGTCATAAGACTTCCCGCCAAGCCTGTGATACCAACGGAGTCATAATTAAGCTTGTGGATGAAGAGTTCCAGTTATCTGTTTATTCACCATAGTCCTTATGTTTGGGTGGCGTCAATTAGTTGTCAAGCAGATTTCCTCACTTATTTCCCTCCTGTTACTCCTTTGATTCCACTGTAAGTTTCCATGTCCCACAACAGCTAGCCCTCTCAGTGTCTTTTTTTTTTTTTTTTACACTTGCCTTTGGCTTTTTGTCTCCTGCCCCCCTTTTAATCTAGTTTAAAGCACTTCCACAACGTTCCCACTTATAACCCAGCTTTCATGAGGAAAAACTGATTTTTTTAATCAAATTTCCAAATACAACCTCTGGGAGAGTGGCTTGGAAAATGTTTGCCTGAATGTTGACAGTTACAAGCAGATACAAAGGAAATACAGGCACTCTAGACTTACAAACAAAACCTCACTTGCAGCCTCAGGCGAGCAGGAAGAGGCACAGCACAAATGCTGGCTGGCCACCCCATGCTCCTCTGGAATCCTCAGCCTGCGCTTGCTGCCTCCTGGTGAACAGGGTGGGGTTTAGGTGCAGCCCACGTGGGGGGGGGGCACAGACGAGAGGAGGAAAGGGGCTGGCTGCAGGAGCCAGCAAAGAGCCCACATGGGGGAGGACAGTGGCCACAGATGCCCAGAAGTCCCCTTCAGGATCTCCACCTATCTCCAGCCGCTGCCTGGCCTCACTAACATCAGGGGTTCCTCAGCAGGGGATGGGGCTCCCTGGACCGCAGATGTTGCCACACCAGAGAGTTCCAGATGTGGGAGGTACAACCTGTACTATGTTTATTTGCAATGAAAAAAACGTTGCAGCTAGGGATGTAAAATTCCATTTAATTGGTGATGTTTAACCAGCTAACCAATTAAAACAGAGCTGCTGCGAACAGGGGAGCTGCTCCAGACCAGACAGAGGAGCCTCACCTGTGGCAGGTCTTGTGAGGCTGGAGCTAGCCTGGGAACCTAACTAAAATGCATAACATTGTTTCTACGGGAAAATGGGTTACAAGTCCCCAACAAGTGATTTAGAAATGAACTTTCAGAACACAACCTGTTCCTGAGTTAGGGACTTCCCATAGTACAGAATTAGGCAACATCACATTTAAGAGCTATGCAGAAAGTTACTAAAAAGTGTGATGATCAGCTGGTCAGATACTTGCCCATAACATGTCAAGGTAGGATCTAATCTATTTAGTCTGGGCTTAGATATCATGGTGACAAGCACTATACAAAACTCCAAGCTACACAAGTACCAGTGATATTTGAGAACTGGAAATCATTTCAGGCACAAGACAATTTAATTACTGATTTTAAAAAAAAAAAAAAAAAACAGAGTAACCAGCTGAAAAAATAAGCAAATCTCAAACAATTCTATTGTCTGTAAGAAGTTCCTTACCTTCATTGTATGGTACTGGATTGCCAATAGCTGCACCAACCACATCAGCTGTTTTGAGAACATCTAAATCCATCAATATAATCACTCTCCTACAAACACAAAGCAAGCAACAGTAAAGACTCTTGACATCTTCCCAGACACCTGTGAGGGATCCCAGTCTGGAAATGAGTTTTGTTTGTTTTTGTTTTTTTAACAAACACAGGCACCACAATCACTAGAAAATGCAGGTTCCCTGAGAAAGCACGGTCAAGAAAAAACAATCCATCATCAACCAGAGTTAACCATTTAGTAAATTCCGATAGAACTGGCAAGTTGGTATCTCCTTTTCTCTGTATTGAATCAATCTGAATGATACAGTAAACATTATTGTAGAAGCATAAAAAATGTGCTAGATTCCTTACAACTCTGCTCCAAATGGTATAAGACTAAATGAAAGTGAGTAGCAAACAGGAAAGTTGGATTGGGGAGAAGGTCAGTGATAGCGAAAGTTCACACAGTTACACATTCATGCATGTAACAAACCTTCAAGACTGTGCTCTACCTTAATTTGCAATAGAAAGTTGAAGTACTTTACCATCTTAACACAAAAACAATTGTCAGCTGAGCATGTCCTCATTCACCCCCTCCTCCAACAAGTAATTTTGCAAGTAATTTTCAGCGATCGAGATGCAACAATTAAGCAGCTGAATGCATTTTATCTAGTTATTTCCATTTAATTGCTACACACACTAATATCTGCAACTATGCATACTGCAGCCACATACAGCAACATTTCTCTCTGCTGCCCTCAAACAGCCATCACAATGACATAATGCAACGGTGGGGAACCCGAAGGCTTGGGGTTTCCCTCCCTTGTCCCCTCCCGGCCATCAGTGTGAACTGACGCTGGTGCTCCAGCTACACAGGGGCCACTGTGGCTAGAGTGTCAGGACCAGCTACCCACTGAAGAGGGGACCGTTAGCTCTGCAGCCAAGATCAAGGCTGCATTGGGCCCACAGACTGTCTGGCAGGGGCAGGAAACAGCTCTGAATGCTGCAGGGAAGCACTCCTTGCAGGCACAGTCCGGCCATCAGTGTGAACTGACGCTGGTGCTCCAGCTACACAGGGGCCACTGTGGCTAGAGTGTCAGGACCAGCTACCCACTGAAGAGGGGACCGTTAGCTCTGCAGCCAAGATCAAGGCTGCATTGGGCCCACAGACTGTCTGGCAGGGGCAGGAAACAGCTCTGAATGCTGCAGGGAAGCACTCCTTGCAGGCACAGTCCCTTGTAGCTCCCATTGT